CCTTGGGTAGGCAAACTTATGAAGAAAGTGAGATCTCCAATAACATGATTCAGGTTCCAACTGTGTGTTGAGAAAAGAAACTAGTTAACTTCTGATGACAATGTAACAATCTACATTAGGATATGATGATGATGATGATGATGGACCCTCAAAAGGATTGATCATTTCACTGAGACTTGTATTAGCACTACAATATTCATATTTGTGTTTACAGAAGTCTTACTTATGAATACTCCAAGTCTGGCACTCCAGTGACAAGCATTTCACCGCCCTTCATGTGCAGTCTCCACATACTCTTGTGATAACCTCGAACTGAAACAATTTGCAGAATAATGTTATGCAAGTACTCTATGAAGCCCAATGAAACATCAACATAGGAATTTATATAATGACTGAATACAGAGCAAAATCTCACTCAGGAAAGAAACTTCTACGCACGCTCACTATGTTCTGCTTTGTTGCAAATACCTAATTTCAATAACTTGAATGTACTGCAAATATACAGTACATATGTAATAGGGTACTAAAAATGGTAGGATAAGTAAGCACTATGAGGTGCTGCTCTCTAGAGGAACGTTATGACCATTATTCATCACAGGAGGTAGGGCGAAGAGGAGGAGGTTGGTGGAAGCAGGGGAAAGAAGAGGTATGAAGTGGCATGAGGAAGAGCATGATGTGGTAGAAGTCAGAAGGAGAATGGGAAGGTTGGAAGTGAATGAGGAGGAAATATGGGGTGGAGGAGATAGGGTGACAAGGAGGAAGAGGGTGGAAAAGGAAGTAGGAAGAGGAGGACGTGTTTGGAGGCAGAAGGGAGAGAGAGGTTTAGCTTTCTCTACCAACAGCACAGCATGTCTGAACCATTACCTTGGCTACTTGCAGCCACGTTACAAAGTCTTTTGATTCTTCCATTTTGATGAACATTATTATGATTTCACCCTGAAACAAAGAAGAAAATATACAGACATATAAAACTTACATCTTATGAAACATTCAATTGGCCTTAAAATAATGAACATGTTGTAATGAGAAACAGACGTATGTATTTGTACAGTTTGAAGTTTTCACGGCAATGAAGATTCATTCTGTGATATGTGACACCACATTGTTTCGGCGAAACATTCTACTTCCATCCTCAGGGTTGAATATTCAAGATGAACCCTCTTCCTCCAAATCATTGATAACCACCAACATTACAAGAAAACACAGTGTCATAATACATACATCATCATGTAAGCAAATGTATTTCATAACTGGTGAAAATATCAGAGTATGGACCTTTCTAGTTGAAAGATTTTTAAAATAAATAAAACACAATAATGATTAAATATATTAGAAAAAAGAATACAAAACTGATGCAGTAAATATTGTATTGCACATATTGCAGTAAATATTGTGACGTATTGCGCTACGGAGGACATCCCCTCTTCCACCAGCGCTGATGTAACAACATCAGGCGCTGTCACTACTACTCTTTACTTTACTTTACTCTTTACTTTAATAGTCTGCATCAAAAAAGTGTTCATGCACTGAAAATGCCTAAAGAAAAGTGCAGCAGTAGATATTTAAAAATTTGGTGGGTGTCAGGTAATAGTGACTATTCAACAGACGGTGTCATCGTGTACTGTCAAGTGAGCACAAAGGAAGTAAAATGTGAAAAGAAATTTCAACTTGAACAACACTCAAGAACAACTGCACATATTGTGGCAAAAAGGGGGAAGAAGAACAGCACACCACAACAACTACTTCTTACACAGGTCAAACCCAAATCCTCTGTTAATATATTTTCAGCCGATCTTTGTAAGGCTTTAGTATGCAGCAACATTCCATGGAATAAATTATGCAATCCAGTTCTGTGATCATTTCTGGAGAAATATTGTGTAATTAAAAAAAACCTAGATGAATCAACTAGCAGAAAAAATTATCTACCTTTGCTGTATGAATCTACTCTGGAGTCAATCCATCCTGACATTGGAGGGAACTGTGTCTGGATATCGGTGGATGAGACAACCGATTTATGTGGCTGATACATAGCAAATTTCGTAGTTGGTAAGCTACATCCAGACGAACCCAGCAACCCTCATCTTCTTGCTTGCAAAGTACTGGAGAAAACCAACCATAGAACAATAGCAATATTTTTAATGATTCTCTATGACTACTATGGCCATCTGAAATTGAGAATAATTGTTGTAAGGTGCTTGTATTACTCACAGATGCAGCTTCCTATATGTTGAAAGCAGCAAAGGCCTTACAAGCATTTTATCCAAATTTTATACACGTAACCTGTTTAGGGCACGGATTACATCATATTGCAGAAAAAAATATGGGCACAGTTTCCAGCTGTTAACGATTTAATTGCAAGTGGGAAAAAACTGTTTCTGAAAGCACCAGCTCATGTCCAGTTCTACAAAGATTGCATACCTCAGGTTCCTCTGTCACCTGAACGTGTCCTAACTACGTAGGAGACATGGATATCCACAGTTTCATTTTATCAGGAGAATTTCAATCAAGTAAAAGAAGTGGTTACAAAACTTAAAGACGAGTATGCATGTGTCCGTGGAGCAAAAGTGGTGTTTGGAAGTGATACTGTTTATCAAGATGTGAATTTTATCCTTTTCTGCAGTGTCAAAAGCCATTGAGCGCTTAGAATCTTGTGGTGCACTCCTTCACGACTCACTTCAACTCGTTCAGAAAGCAACTTGTTCACTGAATTCCGCTCCAGGTGAAATTGGAGAGAAGATTAAATTCAAGTTAAAAAATGTGTTGAAATCGAACCCAGGACTAAAAAAAGACTCCATCAATTAGTCAGTACTTGAGTGGGATTAGGGTATCTTTGCCAGATGAATGTTCTGAACCTTTGGTGCCAGTGTATAAATACTGTCCAATCACGCCAGTTCATGCAGAAAGATCATTTTCAGCCTACAAACTCATTTTGACGGACAAAAGACGTAGTTTGTCTCCAGAAAACACTGAAAGACTTCTAGTTGCCTGTTGTGATGCTACTTTCTGCAGTAAATACATGTAAATAGGTGAGTCTGAATAAAGTGACCTGTTTCTTAAGTCTTATATAGTTTTATTTTTGGTGAATATTTTCCCACATATTTGTGTTTTTAGTTCACATTTTAAGCGTTTTTAGCGCATAAAGATCCGGGACCTAGTCATAACCCACAGATCTGTAATCTTCATATTTACCTCTTTTGAGAACTCCAAGCTCATACCATATAGCAAAGGTTTCCCTTATCCTTAACTGAAACCTACTTTGAATCATATGTAAAGGTTCAAGCCTATGCCTCATCCTTTTAGATATATTCCAGTTAAAGTTCCGCTAATTCTACAGTACCGAAATGTTATTTTTGTTACTTCACGTGGATCGAATGATAAGTGAGAATCAGTGTGGATCGAAACCACGCTCTGCTACCAAGAGTGAACACTGATTCTCACTTATCATTCGATCCACGTGAAGTAACAAAAATAACAGGTTATGGGCCCGGGATCATATCATTGATAAGTGAAGTGAAAAGTGTTATTTAAAAGTGATCCTTTGGACTGACGCCGCTATCAAGACAAAGAAACAAGTTTCATCATGGCCACTTGGAAGCCCTTCGCGAATAGTGATAGGCTCAAAGGACACGAAAATTATAGAGAATGGTGCTTCGATATTCAAAATATTCTAGTGATTGAAACTGTGTGGTCAGCAGTCGAAGGATATCCTGCAGAAGACACAACGCCTATATCCATCAAGAAACAAAAGGACGAGAAAGCAAGAGCCATCATTTGTCTGACATTAGAGCCCCAAGTTAAATCTTACGTCGTCCAGACAACAACAGCAAAGGAAGCCTGGGACGCGTTGGAAAGAACATTCAAAGATCAGGGAGTCAATAGTTGGATAAGTATTCTAACTGATTTGTGCTCTTTGAAACTTGAGGACTATAAAAGCATGCAGGAATATGTTAATGCCTTCATGTCAATAAATCTCAGACTAGTCTCAATGGACAAAAAAATAGATGATGAGCTATTAGCAGCATTAATGTTAAAGGGTTTAACTAAAGAGTATTATCCCATGCGTATGGCGCTTGAAAACTCCAACGTAACTCTGACTAGTGAGCTCATTAAATCTAAGCTATTGCAAGACACTGAATTTGGTAAAAATGCGAATTCAGATTCAGCCTTTCTGTCCAAAGATAAGATTAAACGTAAACCAGCAAAATGTCAAATTTGTGGTAAGCTAGGCCACATAAATAAAAACTGTTGGTTCAAAGATAAGGATAAGGCGAACAATAAGAATCATAACAATCAGCAAAGGCAAAAATTTAAGAGCAATCAGTCTTCTAACTCAGTTAATAGTACTGATAAAAATAAAGAAGGATCCGATCATAGGTCTGATGAAAATAAATGGAGAAGTAAGACCAGTAATAGATCCATGTATATGGTGTCTGTCCATCATGTTAAAGTTAAAGAGAACACTTGGGTAATAGACTCTGGTGCTTCACACCATATGACCGGAAATAAGACTATATTGCAAAATTATAAAACACATGATTCTAAGGAACATGAAGTAACCCTTGCTGATGACATGTTAACAAGTGCAGGGTTTGGTGATGTAAAACTAATGAATGACAATTATAGCCATATCTCAGATGTATTGCATGTACCGGGATTGTCTACAAATTTGTAGACAAATTTGTCTGTAAACTCAATTGTAAATAAGGATACAATTGTGTTATTCACCAAAGACTGTTGCAAGTTATATGATTCTGATGAATTTCAAGTAAGAGGCAAAGTTCTTGCTAAAGCATATCCCGAAAATGGGATTTATTGTTTAAATACCAAAGTTAACATGACCCAATCTGCAAATACAGCAACTAAAGATAAGATTAATACTAAAAAGAAAAATCACAAATGTGAAAAATCTTGTATTAATACTGTAAAGAATGAACAAGTTGCAAGTACCCAGCAAGTTGACGAGCAACTGTTGTGGCATAGGCGTTTGGGGCATTTAAATAGGATTAGCATGCGGTTATTAAAAAAAGGTTTAGCTAGTGGCATTGATTTTCAAGAACAAGAAGGTCAGTCAAAGAAATGTGTTCCAGGTCTGGAAGGCAAAATGACAAAGAAGCCTTTCCTACAATCAAAGAACAAACGGTCAAAAAGAATACTTGATCTATTGCATTTAGATCTGGTTGGGCCATTTGAAGTACCCTCTTATGGGAATGCTAAATATTTTTTGACTATTGTGGATGATCACAGTAGAAAAGTCTTCATTCGCTTCTTGAAACAAAAAGGTGACACATATGAAGCCTTTAAAGAATTTATAAAAATGATTGAGACAGAAACTGGATTGACAATAAAAACTGTTCATTCCGATAATGGTGGTGAATTTTGTGGCAAATTATTCAATGAAATGTTAAAACAAAAGGGAATCAAAAGGGAATTCTCTGTGCCGTATAACCCACAACAAAATGGAACTGCCGAAAGAGCTAATCGCAGCATTTTGGAAAAAACAAGATGTATGTTGTATGATTCCGGCAGCAACAAAAGATACTGGGCTGAAGCAGCTGNTGAAGTACCCTCTTATGGGAATGCTAAATATTTTTTGACTATTGTGGATGATCACAGTAGAAAAGTCTTCATTCGCTTCTTGAAACAAAAAGGTGACACATATGAAGCCTTTAAAGAATTTATGAAAATGACTGAGACAGAAACTGGATTGACAATAAAAACTGTTCGTTCCGATAATGGTGGTGAATTTTGTGGCAAATTATTCAATGAAATGTTAAAACAAAAGGGAATCAAAAGGGAATTCTCTGTGCCGTATAACCCACAACAAAATGGAACTGCCGAAAGAGCTAATCGCAGCATTTTGGAAAAAACAAGATGTATGTTGTATGATTCCGGCTGCAACAAAAGATACTGGGCTGAAGCAGCTCAAACAGCCGTATATCTTTTAAACAGATCACCTCACAAGAAACTAAAGAATCAATTGCCTGAAGAAATATGGACAGGAAAAAAGATTGATCTCTCCCATATAAAAATTTTCGGATGTCCAGCGTATGCTCATGTACCATCACAGAAACGCCAAAAACTGGATGCTGTGAGCAAGAAGTACATTTTTATGGGATATAGTGAGGAAAGTAAAGCTTATCGGTTATCAGATCCCCCCAATCCGTCTCAAATAATTGTGGCAGGAGATGTAGAATTTCTGGAAGAAGAAATAACAAACAAGAAAGAAAGTGAGAAAGGATTTCAGCTTAAAGATATTCTTCCAATGTCGTTAAATTTCTACCTCGACTCACATAATGAAGCAATGATTCCACATGAACAAAACCATGAAGAAGAACAAGTACAAAATGAAGGAAATGAAGTTCCATTAGAGCCAGACGGTTTACAACAATTACAAGGAAACTTGGAAGAAAGAAGATATCCACTTCGAAACAGGAAACAGAAAGAATTTCCAGATTTTGTTACCTACTCAGCCATGCATAAAGATGAGGAGTCAGAACCAGTCACATATAAAGAGGCACTGTCAAGCTCCGATAAATCTAAATGGAAAGAAGCTATTAAAAAGGAGCTAGAAGCTTTCCAAACAAATGAAGCATGGACAATAGTGGATAGACCGTCAAATAAGCCAATAGTGAAATCAAAATGGGTCTTCAAAATTAAACGAGATGCTGAAGGAAATGTCGCATGTCACAGAGCACGTTTGGTGGCGAAAGGTTGTAGCCAAACAGAAGGAATAGACTATTTTGAAACTTTCGCTCCCGTGGTGAAACATTCTTCAATGCGACTGTTATTTGCTTTAGCTGCAAAGCATGATTGGAACATTGACCACCTTGATGTCTGTACCGCATTTTTAAACGGAGATCTTGAAGAAGTTATATATATGGAACTTCCTGAAGGATATGACATTAAGGGGGAGTCTAATAAAGTTTGCAAATTACGAAAATCAGTTTACGGACTGAAACAAGCCGCTAGGTCGTGGAATAAGAAAGCAACAGAGGTTCTAAAAGGCCTAGGGTACAGGCAAACTTGTTCCGAACCATGTATTTATACCAAACAAAAGGGTAATTCAATAATTAATATAGCATTGTATGTTGACGACTTCTTCATATTTCACAATGACAATGTTGAAGTTGAGAATTTAAAAGAAAAATTGCAACAATGTTTTAAAGTAAAGGATTTGGGACCAGTTAAGAAATGTTTAGGAATGGAAGTGAAAAGAGATAGGGCAAAGAAAACTATAAAGTTGACCCAAACTCAATATTTGAACAATGTTCTTAAAAGATTTAATATTCCAAATGAGACTAAACCAGTCAGTCATCCAATGGAACCAAACAGCAAACTGAAACCATTGCCTAAATCAAGAAAATCAACTGAGAATTTAGATAAAGTGCCATATCAACAGGCTATAGGATCTTTGATGTATTTAGCCGTGTGCACGCGCCCAGATATATCCTTTGCTATGACTTACCTAAGTCAATTTAACACTTGTTACACAAGAGAACACTGGGTATTATTAAAAAGAGTTCTAAAATACCTAAACACTACAAAGGATGTAGGTATTGTATATTCCCAGAATGATGATCAATTGGAAGGTTTTTCTGATGCAGACTGGGGAGGAAATTTAGATCGTAGATCCTTTAGTGGATCTGTGTTCAAACTATCAGGAGCAGCTATCAGTTGGCGATGTAAAAAACAAAGGACTGTAGCCTTGTCAACCACAGAAGCAGAATATATGGCATTATCAGAGACCGCAAAAGAAGCCATTTTCTTAAGAAAATTCTGGTTTGAAATATGTAACAAGGAAATCACAATTCCTATTTTTTGTGATAATCGTGGTGCTTTAGCCATAGCGAAAAATCCTGTCAATAATGACCGAACAAAACATATTGACATAAGGGTTCATTTTATAAGAGAAAAGGTTGAATCAAAGGAATTATCAGTACATTACATCCCTGGAAATCAATTAGTTGCTGATGGTTGCACAAAAGGTTTAAATGTACGGAAACATACTGATTTTATTAGTGCATTTGGATTGTGCAAAGAATGATGTTTCCAAACGGTGTTCTGAATAAGTATTTAAAATACAAAACTCCCAAATTGTTTAAGGGGGAGTGTTATGTTGGCAACTCTCAGATACTGAAATATAATGTTAGAGTTGCCAACATAACACGAAATGTACTAAACCTTCTCAGATGTTGACCATTTGGATTCCAGCTCATCTTAATAGAGATCTTTTAAGGATCCATCTGAGCACTGCATGGTTTCCACTCTGTATAACAAGCTTGGATCACTGCTGGTGCGCTCATAACCCTGTTCATTCCAGGCAGAGATGTAGTAAAGTGTCTCGTCCTCCTTTAGCAGTCTCTTAGTCTGGCCAAATTAACTGCAATGTACACACTGTACCAATATTCATATCAATCTGCTTACACATTTGGCAAACATTCCATTCCTTGGATTAAAATGAAGTGCCTTGATAGAGCAAAGTCCTTGAAAAGCTGACAGTCTTATCATCTGGCCACAAAACGACTTCAACTTCTCTAACCTCTGTATTCATCACAGTACTCATACAATTTTGCAGCTGGACCTTGTCATGAACCACCTGAATCAAGTGTACAACCTCAAACCTTCTTCTTCAATTTTATGTTCCCTATATAAGTCTCCAAAGTGATGTCTTTCTTTTACTATATTTGAATGCATTCATCCATCTCACAGTGGTACATGCCCAGCCTATTTTATTCTCCTTGATCTGACACACACAGGTTGAAACTGTTCACGGTTTAATCTGGATAGGAGACAAATGATCACTATAAAACTGTATACAATGATACTTATTTACTTACTCATGGAGCTGAGCCCTTCTGAAGGAGCCGCCAATTCTGCAGCTACTCAAGAATTTCCCAGCATTTTATGGAACCCGAAGGTTGATTACTGTGTTCACAAGAGCCCTCCAATGGTCCCTATCCTGAGCCAGATCTATCCAATCCATACCATCCCATCCTATCTCTCTAAGATCCATTCTAATATTGTCCACCCACCTACGTCTTCCCTGTGGTCTCTTTCCTTCCGGCTTTCCCACCAATATCCTATACGCATTCCTCGTCTCCCCCATTCGTGCTACATGACCTGCCCACCCCATCCTCCTTGACTTGATCAATCTAATTATATTTGGAGAAGAGTACAAGTTATGAAGCTCCTCATTATGCAGTTTTCTCCAACTTCCTGTGACTTCATCTCTCTTTGGTCCAAATATTCTCAACACCCTGTTCTCAAACACCCTCAGTCTATGTTCCTCCCTTAATGTCAGAGACCAAGTTTCACAAGTATACACTGTATACAATCATACATACTTTAATTGTACAGATGTAGTCAGTTCTATAAAATGTTTCAGTCATTGAATGACCATTATCAGGTGGATACTGGAGAATAACCAGGAGTTTACTGTAGTGACAGCCCTTTCAGTTTCTACACAGCCATTACCCATTTCACTAGACACCAAAACCTGTAACAGTTCTCACCTGAAGAAGTCTGGAGACACATCCAGATCTTCTTCCACAATAATTATGTATTTGGCATTGGGAAATATGTTGAATGTTGCTGTCAGAGAAGCCTTGTAGTACTGAGATATTCTGGCATTCTTAACTCCAATTGGTGTGCTGAATTCCTCGCAGTCCAAAGAGTTTTGTCACCTCAAGCGGTTCCTCAAAGTAGCCATCAATAAAGACTGTTATCATCTCTGGATTTGCTCCATGTACAGAGAGAAGAGACCTCAGCATCCTGCACAGACAATAAGGCACTGAGAATTATATCAGAGTATTTATAAATCTGATGTTCTTAGGAGTGCATGGGGGAAGAATGAAAGTGTAAATTAATCAAATGTAGAGACAATCCTACCAGCTTTTCTGATAATTTAGGTTCTGTTTTACAGTCAAGCGGCCTGAAACTCAGTGCTTTAGTATTACCTGTACAAGTAATGAGGCCTGTTGACTGAAATGACAGCCACTGGTACATCATGAACCTTATTATTCACCAGCTAAACGAAAAGAAAAAGAAGAAATTAATTATAAGTATTTTGTTATTAATTTATTGCCAAATTTCTGCTGATAAAATGAAATATGAGATGGCTTGTGAAATACACTTGCAAAAAACAATATGTTGGTTGAGAGGCACATAGGAAATGTAGGTACATACATTATGAGCTCTTATGACACTAAATTTCTTTGCTTGACTCTTGAGAGTTCCTAGACTTGGGAAAAACATATTGAAGAGGTTATAAATAAATTAAGCTCAGCCTGCTACATGATAAGGAACATAAAACCACTTTTGTCTATAAATACCTTGAAAATTATTTATTATTCTTACTTCCATTCTGTCATGACTTATGGCTTGATTCACTGGGGAAGCTCATCACATGCTGAAATGGTTTTTAGATGCAGAAGAGAGTTACATGACTGATGATGGGTCGTGGTTACAGGGAACCATGTAGAGATCTCTTCAAGGAAATAAATATACTGCCTTTAAAATCACAGTATATATCTTCACTAATGTAATAAAAAACAGATATAAATTTGTTACAAATAAGAATTATTATGAAGTAAAAACGTGACAAAATATCAATTTACATATAAACCAGGTTAACTTGGCCATATATGGTAAAGGAGTATATCACATGGCAGTACAGGTTTTTAATGGACTTCCTTATAACCTCAAAGAAATCTCTAATAATCCAAAAGAGTTTAAAGTTAATTTAAAGGACTTTCTATACTCAAATTCTTTCTATATATTGGAGGAATTCTTTAAAAGATCATTGTATTATATCTGCAACAGCTGAGTATTATTGATTATACTGTTATATAGGGATGATTTTACGCATATGCACATACACTCAACTCTCAATTATCCTGGATAATGGTGGGGATGGAAATCACTATTAATCGAAAACCCGGTTGTGACAAATTTTATTAAAAGTAGTACTGTAATACCGTACCTTCATAATACTATAGGCCTACCTGTATTTAAATTTATTCAACCTCATTTTTATGCCATCTCATGGCCTATTTAATACTTTTTTTTTACATTACACTGAAGTATGAATTAGTTATTTCAATCACAGTGCTCAACAACATCCAACACTTTTTACGAATATTCACACTTACCACGTAAAAGAAATTAATACTGTCGTTTGCTTTTTTGCGGCATTTTCCTTTTTACGGATATCCGTACGAAGCCTACGTAATATTAGCTTGTCACTTAATAAACTGTTCTCTTCACTCTCAAGATAGTCTAGTAAGGATTCCAAATGATTAAGAGCAGCATCATGTGATATTTTCTTACTAGCAGCACTGTCCACCTATTCCTCATTCTCACTTTCTTCCCACTCTTCTGGCTGCACCCCCACTGTTCCCTGTGCCCTTAGTTGATTAAACCAGATCAGCATTGCTTTGTCGAGATCATCATATGTTAATTTTTTCATGGTTTTTCTCTCCTTCATTCCGCTTGAATTAGAAGACGAAGCAAAGGAAATTAATTGATTCTTTTGTGTTTTCAAATCATGAACAGTTTGTTCTCCAATACCATACTGCATTGCTAATTGTTTAACTACACCTCTTTTTCCCAACTGATTGATAATTTCAAGTTTCTGTTGAATACTTAACACAATACGCTTCCTTTTACGCCCTGACATTTTGCTAACGCACTTGAGGATCTATACAAAGAGACTAACTGGGGCGGTGTATCTGTCCTTGAAACTTTTCACAAATCCTTGTATTCTTTCACCCCTACCCTAGAACACAGTGTTAGCATAACGGGACCAAAGAATGCAGAGCTCAGTTCACACTAGTGCGAAAATAGTGTTACAACTCACCATGTGAAACAAAAGTGAATGAATATTAAACAACATATAAGCCTCAAAAAAGCCCCGGTTAAGCCACAATCTGGTTTATCCGCCCCCAGATAATCGAGAGTTGAGTGTATTTATATTTGATGGAATGCATTTGTAGTTATCGCTTTGCTGCTATTTACTTGGTTTTTATTACTAGAGTACTATTATGTTCATACTACACTAACTTAAGAATTGTTTTAATCATATTAAATAAACTGCATGTTTATGCTTACTTTATTATGTACTTACTGATGCGTATGACTATACGTACATTGTACTGCTTTATTTGTGACTATTTCCACATCCTATTAAATTCTTTTCTGTATGGATTTATGAAAACGAATAAATAAATGAATGAATGAATTACTGACAATACCAGAATTAAAATAAATATTTCTTATTTCCCTTAATTGCATTATCATAGCTATATAAATTATTTTTGGGTTTGTAAGGAATTTTTAGTATTCATAAATTTCAAGTAATGAAGTGTCACAATGGAATTAATCATATTCCTAAGCATCTTGAAATACTTAAAAACAAATATTTGAAATATAAAATAATTCTCATTCAACACACAAACTGAGTGCAAATATTGAGATTTCCAAAACTATAAAATAATTACAAATCACATAAGTCAAGAAAAAGGGAAGGATCATTGAAGAAACAACTGGATGAAGGAAACCAGAACAATGATGTGATGGTGGCAGTGGTGTTGGCGGTGGGAGATATCTATAAAGTAAAGTATACTGAACTCTTCTGATGGAATTGTAGGCATGATCTGACACAATAATTATTAATCTAAAAAACAACATACATTTTTTTGCTACTCACTGGTTTAGGGTTAAACAACAATGGCACAGGATCCATGCAGCTGCAGATGCTGCTCGATATGATTACAAAATTCTATTCTTCACCTATTCTCTTCTGTGTCCGCCCAATCACACTCACTTTCTGTAATGATATATGTTTACATTTGCATGTCTTATCAATTATCCATATAGATTACAAAAAATTAACCAATAATATGGGTCTCCATAGTAACAGCATACAATAGTACCAAATAGTAAGTAGTCAAACTTAAGGAGCAGTGATAGGTAACAGTACATACTAGTGTTGCGGTAGCATAGTTAGTTGAGGGGCTATCCTACAAGCCAGAAGGTCACGGGTTCAAGTCCCGATGAGGTCACTGGATTTTTTTCAATTGATCTAATACTTCCAGCCCCACTATGGCCCCGGGGTTCATTCAGCCCCTTAACAGAAACGAGTACCAGGAATTAATTAAATAAGTTTCCTGGGGAGCAAAGCACGGCCAGCACGTAAGGCTGACAATCTTACCGCCATCTTTGAGCCGACTGTCTACATAATGTGCGATCCTGCCCCTGCAAGTGAAAATAACTCTGATACTGGAGATCCCTACCATAATTTGAGCCTTAAGGTGAAGTTTAGCATTTGGAGGTAAATTATTCTAACATTCAATGACCTCAGGGCATGTTTTTTCATATCATTTTTGAAAACTGCAAGATTATCCTGATCCTCTGTTCACCCATAATCATGACCTGCTTTTATTATCAACTGTCATATCTCAAAAATGGATTTTATGAAGACACTACGCTTAACACAAAATATAAATAATATTAATGGCTGAAACTCTCATTGCAACAGTTTCTTATCTGGTCAGAATTTATCACTATATTAATACATTTTACATGGAACTCACACAGAATCTGCATCATTATATGTGCATCCACAATTTTCAATAACATGCGAGTCTTCTGTTCAGTGAGGGTTTATAAATAATTTTAGTGAAATGTTAGTTTCGTACAACTGTTTAGTTTGGTAGGTACAAGGTGGGCTCATGGGCAGAACGGCCATGGAATGCCCCCAAAACTCAACAAATTGGTAAGATACTACAAATGCAGTCAGTCCATACCAAAGGATAGCAGAAATCCAGAAATCATGTGACCAGGTAATCCCTGTTCCATTAAGTCTTATAGATTAACAGACTAAAAGAATGGATAAGTCTACGCTATTAACTAAAATTGCCAAAAGAAAATTTAGCTTCACTGTATAATTACTAAAAGTGCTAAAACCCTAATATTGTATTTATGTATACTGTTGTATTAATATATCTTTTGTATATATATACACTTGCATCTTAAATACAACTTATTATCTAGTCACCCTAGAGGAAATATGTGTGTACTAAAAAAACTAATATACATTCATGTACTGGCACATTTCATAGAACTATGTACTGAAACTCGATACTGCTTTAGCCTCCGATATTTATTTTCCATTCCATGCTTTAACCTCCACTGCTCACAGTCAAGACACACTGATTACAATCTGATCATTCTTGCAAGTAAACAGGGCCAAAATTCGGTTAGCTTTGAAAGAACTGTCACACAATCATAGTAACTCAAACATACTTGCTCTTGGTTTTCTTCAATAATACGTTCGTTAGGAACATGTTTTGGTTCACAATCTACCTGCAAAGAAAAAAGAATTCGTTAGCGAATAATCCATCTAATTTATTCTTCAGGATTTATTGTCAGGTTTAATTGGGTTGTCATGCGTTTATGTTGACACCTAGAATGCTCCGGCAACTAATCTGCTGATAATAACAGTTTGAAAGAGGGTAAACTTGCATTTTGCTTGACCTGAAATTATCAAATATTTAGGTTATGTGGAATTACTGTTGCGAATTTCAGATTTAGTAGAATTAAAATTAGAAATTAGTCCGTGTGCTGATTGTGTACACAATTTAAAACTCAGGCCAGCGACATTCTAAATATTTTTATTAATAACAAAATACGCGTGGCCCAATAATACACGCACTTTAACCTTAAACCACTGTAGAACATTGCAGAATGCCAAACAAGCCTACCCGTTCGGCAACAGTGTTGATTTTACACGAGAATTAGACACAGGAAACTGAATTTGGCTCGAACATTATGTGGTTGAAGATTTCTTGGGGGAGGTGTTTAAATTAATGAAGTATTTACAACATTTTTATATGCTTGTATTAAATACGACACTCAACCGCGTAGTTATTAACGTTATCAGTTGGCAGTCATGGTCATGGTCGTCATGGTGGTCATGGTGCTCTAAGGCCAGGGTTATGAAGATGTTAATGCGAAATTCTTCACGAAAATTGTGAAGGCCATTTGGCACGGAATTGTTGGGTTTCTTGTCGGAATAGATTAGCTGAGTGTATTTCTATTAATACAGGAGTTCAAATATGTTTGCTATGAATTATACAGAGTCATTCTTTCTCTTTCTTGTACTCTGGAGTGAATTATCTGCCTCAGAGTTCATGAAGAATAGAACTGAAGGTAACAGTAAGCAAGTGCTGTTATACTTAAAAATTGTAATATATGTTGTGTCAGAATATTTAATTAAACTGTAGAATTAAATCTAGTATACGGAAATAGGCACACTGGCTGGTGTCCAACTCTTTTGTAGGCATGTTTTCGTTAATGTAAACCCAAGGTTAGTTTTTGAGAAATCGTTTTGAAAAGTAGCTTCTAATGTTGGGGGTGGGGCTGGATGGAGGAACTTGTTCCGCAGGTGCCTTCGCAAACTGTAATTCCACCAAATTGTTTACAGTAATTCCTATAAGCCGATGTCCAGAGTTTGGCGATCCTGGAAAGGGAGTAATAACCGAAGTACTTGTTGTTGGAGACAAGGAGGTCCTGCATGTGGAATGTGAACCCGGCCATGACCTGATGGGACCACCAAAGATTTTATGTGTTGATGGTCACTGGGAACATGTGCAGAAACCACAATGCTCAAAAAAGACACACTGTAATTGTTCAGCTGTGTAAGTTTACTGTTTAACAGAATCAGTTGTTGGCTCTTTGTTATGATACCAGGTTCAGAATTATGTTAACCTATTACAGCACAGTTTATACTGTATATATTGCCTGTTTTAACATTAAAATGCTCTGCAGAATGCCTTCATGTGTCTTTGTATACCTTTCAGAACACCATACAGCTATTTTCTGAAGTACCATTAACCAGTTTGTCTTTATAATGGAGACAGTTTGTTTCCTGTGAGGTAGATCTGGAGTTTTAAGATTAATTTTTGGCCTCAGTTAAATTATGGTACTTACAGTCAGTTCATATGCTCTTCATGAACATAAGTGGTGTTTAAACTGTATTGGGGGGGCCATGAAATGGAAGGTACTTTTGTCTGCATATTCAGAATTTTTACTGTCTTACAGTAATGTTCATTAAAAATCAATTTTTACACATATCTCTTGTCAGCAATCTATTCTTAACATCCATTATGAGATTTTTCACCCGAGTTGCAATTCCTGCACTTTATAGTTACAGAACATGTTGTCATTGCTTCATTATGTTGTTCAGGAGTGAAAGTCATGTTACATGAGGTACTTACTGCCAAATATTTATGGTACATGATCATTTAGAGGTTCACAGTATTCACTGTTTGAAAGAGAGGAATTGTGGAAAATATGTTTTAAAGCTAATGTTTGAAATGTTCATCCCACCTTCTAAGTTTTTTGAATTTGTAATTGGACACAATTTACAAGCGGAACAAATATTACGGATCAGGGCCTACATGGGTTACCCTGCCTCCATACCTAAATGCTGTGTGACCCATGTACAAGTCACACAGTCATCAAACAACTTGCCAGTGGTTTGGCCTGTCTTAACTGTGTCTGAAGAATGAGAGTTTCATCTTTCCACCTGAATATTTCAGAGTGTCCAGTAGCGGTGTTAGTGACATTTGTGTTTCAGTATGCTCATTTTCATAGAAATTTGCAGTCAACCTCGGTTGTAGTGACACCTTGGCTATAGCATCTGCTGAGTGGTACTAATTATATTTCCATATAGCGCATACATTTCTGCCTCTCTTATGAAGACATACATGGAATAACCAGTTTGTTTATAGTGACATCTGACACTCTGTTCATACTCCACTCCTCTGCATGGACATTAAAAAATCTGATGAAAGTTCCTCCTACCCTTTTGTCAATGACCCTTTTTAAGCAATGCTGAGTCACCTTTATTACTGTAACTTCTTAGTACCTTCAGAAGATGTATGGGAAAAGTAGCTTCAGTAACAAACAGGCTTCAAGAAATATGTACATATTTTTTAAATTCCACTTTTTTATGTACTGTAAGCTCTAGTTTACATTTAAAGTGAATTTTCATGATGTACAAAATTATCCTATATATTTCTTCATGAAGCGTGATTTAATCCCTTCAGTCATTTATAATGACATAATTCCTCCAATCTCTTGCATAATGTTATAACTGATTCTGACTATCTCTTGCTATGAAATTGAAACATATAAACGCATGGTTGTACAAAGAAAATTCAAGGACTAATTTCATAATTTATTGTTTTTTTTACTATAGCATTTTGAATGAATATTGAGACCTGACACATTTCATTGTGCATGCATCTTATATTTAAATAGTGTTAATTGTAGCTATTTAAGCATTCTGTCAAAATTGGTAAGCAGATTTCCTTAAAAGTTAAAGTTGGGGGGGACACAGACAGGATGATGTGCTCATAAGCCTTCTTTTTTCTTAAGAAGGAAAGGACACTAATGATGCTCCAATATAGAATTTGTGTCTTCTATTCAAAATGTTACAGGCTGCCCTTCACCTCCATTCTTGCGTAATGCAGAAGTTCGCTTTGAAGGAATGCAGGACAGTGAAAAAACCTACCGTCAAGGCTCACGTGCCACTTACAATTGTGGTGAAGGATTTCACTTGTCCCCACCTTCAAGTAAGATTCGTATCTGCAAGGATGGGTACTGGACAGGTCCACAAGGTCGATGTAGTGAGTATGTGTCTCTTAGTTTTTTCACTCAGCGTGCAAGTGTTATCTCTTAACATATGTTTCCCTGAATGATGTCACTGGATGCTTAATGAGAAGAATCATGAAATTTCAGCAGGTTTTCTTGTGCGTTTTCTTTCATGATTCATATTGTGCTTCATGCAGTCCACACACTGGCACCAAGAACTTAAGATACCATCCATGAAATACACATCTCTGCAAAAAAAAAAAAAAAAGCAGAATACAAGGCAGAAGAATGCCATGACACACGATACTTCATTTTACATGATTTATACAATTTTTAAGATTATATTTATATTAAATTTTAACAAGCACCAAATTGGTTTAAATAATACATTTTTCACATGTACAGATTTCAGGGGTTATATGGCACTAAAATAAAATGTAACAATTTACGTGAATCAGCATATTCCTGATGATACCTGTGTGGCCAAAATATGTTGTTGAATTTACAGGAAAACATTGACTAAATGGGGATTCAGCCAACAACTCATAACACTGCCTGCATTGAAGACTGCGCATGCATGAATGTGCGTGCTTCTAGGGGCAGGACTGACTTCTACACGAGGATAATTATATTAATATTGAAGCCAACTGGGTTACACACATGCACTGACACAGTAATTGGATGCGGCATTGTTTAAAATATGACACTTAGAGCACATCATATTTAAAGACAAGGAAATTGAAGGGTATTATTGAAGACATACTTTATCAACATAAATTGTTGTTCCAGTGTCTTCTGAAACTAGAAAAGGTGTAGGAAGATTGAGATGCTGTGCTGTAGACCACACAGAAAGTCTCTCGTAAAAGTTTATAATAATATATAATTATAAACTAAATTTTATATTGAAGATGTGATGCCTTTCAGTCTGGTAGATGTGTACTGGCCTTCCTGTAAAAAATCAGTAAATATCTACTGGACTGCATGGTACCACTGTGGGAACCTCAAATGTAATATGAATTTCATATTCTCTAATTGGTAATTAGCTGATGAAATCATATGTTTCTTGACAAATTCATGAATGAAAGATGATAATTAGTGATTACTGAATGACTTTTCTGATTAATAATGTAACTATTAAAGTCATATGGTTTTGCATTTACCAGTGACTGTGTACCCTAACATTTGTTACAAATATAGAAAGTTTAGTCTCTTTGACTGTATGTAGAATCATTCATGACATTAGCTTTATTAAGAAATAGAACAAAGTTCCTTTTATTTTGTGATAGTTTGATAGCAACATAGTAATATGCTCTCTTAGTTACTAATGAGCTTTGTCATCTCATGTTATTATTTGAATCATAATTTATTAGTATTAAGGGAAACATTACTCTTTATGGTACTTGTGTTGCAGTCGCAAATGGTTGTCAGATGCCACCTGAAATAGCATATGGCTACTATGTTTTGGAATCTGCTCGAGAAGATGATTCTATGGCCCATGTAAGTGTGGGTCAGCGGGCTCATTACAACTGTAACCTTGGTTATATCCTGACTGGACCAGCCAGTCTTCAGTGCTTGGATTCTGGTGACTGGTCCCCTCGCTTACCCCCTCATTGCACTCCAGCTAACTCAGGTAGGAAGATTGTCTCTTGTACTATGACTAGAACCGTATAATTATTTAAGGACAAAATGAGATTATTGTGCAGCCTCCATGAACTAATAACGTGGTGCACACTTGAAACTAATTGTAGGATAAGACAGCTGTACTGACTGTGGTTCAACATCAGTGGAGTGCGGTACTATCTTGGTAAGGGAACTAGTGGTATCTAATAAATGAACTGATAGCAATCAACTCACCAGAATTTATGTCACTTATTGAGTCAGTAAGGTCATTTGTATTCTGTTCGATAAACCTGTAAATACTGTACTGTTCTCAAGGTCAACATTGAGTTTATGATCATATTTCCTCAATAAGTGAACTAATTCCACATAATTACCTCTGTCGATAGAATCCACGCTTTCGCCATGACCACAGAGGGCAAGTCGCCTCCTTCCTAAATGTCAGATTATATCAATCAAGCCTTTCATTATTTCTCTATTTTCTTTCACGTTTTCATTATGCTGTAGTATTGTCAGGTGCTTTTGATTGTCAAGTTGATAGTCAATTCGAGATTTCGTGAACATAACAAGTTGCACTGTTGAAATAATGCGAGTCTGAGAGTTCTCATGTCATTCCAGTGCTTTATGAAGGTTGTTGATATCACCAAACCCAGTCTTGTTCCATACTTTTTTTTTCATTGAGAAACAATAGGCATGCCAACAAAAAATGTTCCTATATTACAGCAACTGGACAGATTGTAGGTGCACGTTTAGCTGGAGCCCCTCTGACAAAAACTGTGACATTATTAGGTGTGTTGAGCGCGACAGTTTCTAAGGTTATGTTGGCATACACTAATCAAGGGAAGATGACATCAGCCAAGAGGAACAGTGGGTGAGAATCAACACTAACAGACAGAAACCATCACACGTTGAGAAGGACTGTTTAAAAAAAAATCACAACTACAGCAGAACCAAATACTCATCTTGAAGACCCTGCTTCCAGAAGAACTGTCTGACGTGAGATTCACAAATCCAACATCTACAGTAGGGCTGCAATTGCTGAACCTCTGATTACTGAAAATAATGCTCAGATGCATAAGTAGTGGTGTTACAACCATAGAATCTGGACATCAGACAACTGGAAACATGAGCATGATATAGTCAGATGAGTCATCCTTCATGTTGTTCCCTACATCAGGAAGAGTTTACTTTTGGAGAACACCCAAGGAAGCCTACAATCCAGAATGGCTGGTTTGGTTCCAGCAGTGGAATATGGGGGAGGTTCTGTGATGGTTTGGGCAACAATTTTTATTTTTGTTACTTCTGCATGGATCAAATGCTAAGTAAGAATCAGTGTTCAGTCTAACCCTGCTTTATTAAGACTAACTTTTGATACACAAAAATCTTTTTATATGTCCATGATTTTTATATGTATTCACACACATAACAATGGTAACACACAACAATAGAGAGATTCTGTTTTTATACACATAACCGTAGTAAAACATAACGGTAGAGAAATTAGGAATAGCGCATGTAGCGCAGTCTATTATTAAAAATTATTTACTACAACGTTGCCAACTCTGGCATTGTATGTTAACATTAGAGAGTGGCCAACATAACATAACATAAGTAGTGGTGTTACATCCATAGAATCTGGACATCAGACAACTGGAAACATGAGCATGATATTCTCAGATGAGTCATCCTTCACGCTGTTCCCTACATCAGGAAGAGTTTACTTCTGGAGAACACCCAAGGAAGCCTACAGTCTGGCATGGCTGGTTTGGTTTCAGCAGTGGAATATGGGGGAGGTTCTGTGATGGTTTGGGCAACAATATTGTGGTACAGTGTTCTGCTGGTCCCATTATTACCCTTCATGGCTGAACTACTGCAAGGAAATACATGGACAGGTTGGGTAATTAGATGTATCCCATGATTCACATGTTCCCAAACAATGCCACAGTTTTCCAAGATGACACTGCCCCCATTCACACGGCTCATACTGTTCAGTTGTAGTTTGAAGTGCATGAAGGTGAGCTTCAGCATCTTCCCTGGCCAGCACAGTTACCATATTCCAACATCATTGAACTACTCTGGTCAGTTTTGGAAAGTAGAGTGAGGTACAGATTCCTACCTCCAACATCTCTAAAGCGACTTGAAGCTGTTCTTCAAGAAGAATGGTGTGAACTTGCTCTAGAGACTGTTCAAAACTTGTACAAGTTCATTCCAAGAAGGAATGTTTGATTAAACACCATATTAATAAAGAAATGTGTACAGTATCTGTAGTGTTTCCATTTTTTCTAACACCTGTATATCACACCAGCTCAGTTTTAGTGTCTTATTTTCAAGGCCCATGAGAATCCCTTTATGATTTTCTCTGACAGTTCCACATCAGTTGATAGCACTTGTGTGCAGGTCATAAAATAAATGTGGAGAACAGATGGAACTGTCCTCCCCCTTCCACTTCCTNTTAATAAAGGGTTAGAGCATGAATCCGGTTTCTTTATTGCCACACCTTGTATGTTGCAATTTTCCTGTCTGTTCCCAGAGATATTTTAAGTACAACCAGTCTCGTTGCATAGTGTGTAAATATATTGAAGCATTTATGTTTTTTTTATAGTGCTACTTAAAAATAAGTCTCTTTTGAAGAAACAGTAACTTTTCCACAGTTAACTGTTGAGATGGTAAATTGTCATTCAGATTACGTAAGGGAGGTCTAATTTTCCAGAGACTGTCAGTGCTGTTGTGAGCATTGTCTGGTTGATTGTTATTATTCCAAAAATGTAGAGCCCTCAGAATATGAAACAATTAGTTGCATTTCATTATGTTACAATAAAATGGTGTATATAATGGTATATTGAAAGATTGGACCAGTGATCTTTCAGTACCCCTGATGTCGTAACCCATTACTTATTATTGTTGCTACAAATACATTTATGCAGTCGGAAAGTGGTCAGTATCCATCATAATTATTATTTCTAAATATTTGTTATCCTTTAACGTCGAAAGTGCCCCATTTGTGCCAGTGATGAGTGTAGTTGTCGTGGCCAAAGTACCAATCGGGCATTTAAACTCTGCTAGTGGAAGCGCGCACACACACCGCTAGAGAAGCGCATGCACAGTCCTAAATATTTATTTTTATATGTAGAAATTACCAGACAGACTTGAGTAAAACCCTAATAGAGGAATTAAAATGATACCTATGTGAACAACAGCAAAAAAGAATATGCGTATGAGTTATGCCCAAACTCATCCAGGAGCCAGTACTTTTATTGCAGATTCTGCAGATTAATGCGTTAAAAATATATAGTAAAATTCGATGTACATACCTTTTTTGTTGTTATCTGCTTGATGTATACTATATAGGCTGAAATGAAACTACAGAATTTGATGTCACTATTTTATGATAACAGGGTCTGCTAAAATTTGTGAAGTGTTACCAACAGAAATGAGTTTATAATGCAGAACAACTCTGTGAAGAACTGGGAAAATATTTTTGCAGTACGTATCAAAATTAAGAGAAAAAAATTGAAAAAGGGGTATAATTCTTTGTATAAAAATTTTCAAATCTTCCATTATAATATGCTACCCTATGTTCTTTGCTGATACAAACAAAGTTAATTCCATCCATTTATCTTAAAAATTATGTTAGATACAGCATTTTTAAACACAATGCTTAAAATTGTTTAAGCCCCCTAACAGGAACGGACATTTAAACGCAGAGTAACAACGGGCTTTTAAACGCGCGCCAGCAGCAGGCATTTAAATAAACTCCAGCCAGCTGAAGCTTAGTAGCATTTCAAAAGTCCGGCTTTTAAAGGTTATAGTATTTATTAGCTTCTGCTATCAGTAGTTAAATCACTTCATAAAAAATATTAGAAAGATTGTAATTAATGTAGAATCTTTCTCCACATGGGGTGCTTTTTGTATGCTTAGTTTGCTAAGATTTCCAGTGGAAGGATGGTCTCCATCAAAATTCCAATGGGGTAGTTGTCTTGACCAAATTTTACTTTGGCATCCACTCATATTATTGCCGCCACCCACTGCTGCATTATCTTCTTTAAGCTGACTTTCACTATAAGATGAGATTGCTTTATTAGTCCCTTTTAAAAATTAACCAACTTTCAATATTATCTATATTTCTCAAAATTTGTGTCAGTATAACAGGAAAGCAGTTATGCTCTCTTGAGACCAGTACAGTATATCGNGGGAGAGTTAAGATCTCTAGCCTCTTGAAGATATTTTTACATGATTCTCTTGGTTTAACACCAGCCATTATTCTAACCATTTTCTTTTGTAAGATGAATATCTTCTGGCTGTAAGAAGGTTTCAGGCCCTTAAGGTGTAGAAATTATATAAAATGTCATTTGGAAATATCAGAAAACAGTTACCAATGAGCCTGAATGACATCTGTGAAATGTTTTTCTATTAATGTTTATTTTTGAAATTTAATTTGTCTTCTTTAGGGTTAACAGCAGTTCAACATCTTTGTTATCAGCCTGTTCTTCTGTAGCACCCCAGAAAGTTTCATGGCCAACTGGGGAGTTGCTGCCCCCACTTTAGAAACTGTAGTATATCATTCTTGCCTACTAGTGTGAAAAGCTACACAGATATTTGAAACATCTGATGACAGCTGACCTCCCACTTTAACTATTTATCGTCACCATCTCTGAATCGAAATACATGAAAAAGTTGATTTATTTATTGCTGTATAGTCAACCCTTGTCCAACACAAATTTGATTTTACACACAAAAACAAATGTGAATAATCATTTTCTGAAAGCAGAGGACTTGAATGTACATAGTCTGGCAAGCATGCTTTAACTCATTATTTCTTCTCTGATCTCTTGATGATTCCTGATTCTCTGTCTCTCACAGCAACTTTTTCTCAGTCTCACATCTGTTGCTACCATGTTAAGTTCAGTGAAGTTGTGTCTGGTTTTCGGAGTTTATTGCTGTTGTTTTTCAGTTGAAGTATGCTTAGAAAGCTATATGATATCTGACTTTAAAACATCTCAAAATGGCAGTGAA